TGGATGGATATAATTTCTCCATTTCTTTACTTATTTTCTCTAATTCTCAAGATTCTGTCTCTGTAAAAAGAGCTTTTTACTTGCCAGAAGCAAGGTGCCTCTCTATATAAATCGATAAGCCTTTCAGTGACATCTCTGCTCCAGTCTCCGTCGTGCGACATGGTCAGTTAAGCAAAGAGGCAGGCAATTGTGCGTCTATTGGAGCGCCAGCCCAGCGCACAACCTCTTTGAACGAAAGTCACAGCGACACTGCCGATTGCCCGAATGCCCGTCACAGCAGCCCGTGCCCGTCCGTCACGCAAGTCCAGTAAAAGATTGAACAGCGCTTGACTCCCCGTCACTCAAGTCTTGATGGTCCGGACTGCCTCAGTCCGGACTGAAAAAGCCAGTTTTTGAATCGTCAGTCCCGCAGAGTCTCATAGTGGAAACGGGCCTTAAGACAAGCGATCTGGCAATGCTGGACTGATGCTATATTGCTGGCTGGCGTATAGTGCTTTACTATATAGCATCTAGTCTCCTGTAGCATCAGTGGCCTCCTATAGCATCAGTGGCCTCCTATAGCATCAGTGGCCTCCCATAGCATCAGACTCATCAGTGTCCTCCTATAGCATCAGTAGCCTGCTATAGCATCAGTGGCCTCCTATAGCATCAGTGTCCTATAGCATCAGTGGCCTCCTATAGCATCAGTGGCCTCCTATAGCATCAGTAGCCTGCTATAGCAGCAGTGGCCTCCTATAGCATCAGTGGCCTCCTGTAGCAACAGTGGCCTCCTATAGCATCAGTGACCTCCTATAGCATCAGTGGCCTCCTATAGCATCAGTGGCCTCCCATAGCATCAGTGTCCTCCTATAGCATCAGTAGCCTGCTATAGTATCAGTGGCCTCCTATAGCATCAGTGTCCTCCTATAGCAACAGTGGCCTCCTATAGCATCAGTGGCCTCCTATAGCATCAGTGACCTCCTATAGCATCAGTGTCCTCCTATAGCATCAGTAGCCTCCTATAGCATCAGTGGCCTCCTATAGCATCAGTGGCCTCCTATAGCATCAGTGCCTCCTATATCATTAGTGGCCTCCTATAGCATCAGTGCCTCCTATAGCATCAGTGCCTCCTATATCATTAGTGGCCTCCTATAGCATCAGTGGCCTCCTATAGCATCAGCGGCCTCCTATAGCATCGGTGGCCTCCTATAGCCTCAGCTAGTGGCCTCCTATAGCATCAGTGGCCTCCTATAGCCTCAGGGGCCTCCTATAGCATCAGTGGCCTCCTATAGCATCAGGGGCCTCCTATAGCATCGGTGGCCTCCTATAGCCTCAGTTAGTGGCCTCCTATAGCATCGGTGGCCTCCTATAGCCTCAGAGTGGCCTCCTATATAGCATCAGTGACGTCCTATAGCATCAGTGGCCTCCTATAGCATCAGTAGCATTTTAATAAGTTTTGAATAGCGTATTTGAACGTAAAGTTCGTTATTGAGTGGCGTATTTGAGCGTAAAGTTCGTTATTGAGTGGCGTATTTGAGTGTAAAGTTCGTTATTGAGTGGCGTATTTGTGTGTAAAGTTCGTTATTGAGTGGCGTATTTGAGTGTAAAGTTCGTTATTGAGTGGCGTATTTGAGCGTAAAGTTCATTATTGAGTGGCGTATTTGAGTGTAAAGTTCGTTATTGAGTGGCGTATTTGAGTGTATAGTTCGTTATTGATTGGCGTATTTGAGCGTAAATTTGTTATTGAGTGGCGTATTTGAAAAACGGTTAAATAAAATGGAAAAACATTTACTGTTAAACTTTACCGAAAATTGCAACAAAGTAGCGAACTCAGAACAACGCATTTACAGCAATAATCGAATGATATTATGATTGTAATAATTCTATTCAGTATTAAGAGCAATAAACATCATCAGGCCTAACCGTCAGCACCATCACTATGACATGAAACTCCATATTGATTACCACATTTGGGGAGAGGCTCACCAAAAGTGACAAGTGCTCGGCGATAACTCCCGCCATGATAAGAGATGAAAGCTGCAGGAATGTTGGCCTCACGGCGCATTCCTCGGTCGCTCCGAGTCGCGAGGGAGACGCGAAGCAACCGTCTGTGTCGGCTAAAACTCATGTCCATCACTGTTTACGTACAATCTTATAGGGAATCTTGTTTACTGTGAATAATGGTAGCAGTTTTAAGCTCAAATATACAGCGTTTGCAAAGTAATATTCAAGTGTTCGGTAGAACCTATCATGTGAGTGTGACTGCGTATGCATCGTCATGTGTACGCAACTCCCGTGTACGCAAGCATGCACCAATTTCCAAAGAAACGCACACATAGCAGAGTTTCACCTCTTGTCTCCTTCGTTCGTTGGGGTTTGCCATCCTTTGTCCTCATTGCAAGGACCCAACATCTAACAAATTTAAAAATACGCCATCGATAGAAACACATGCAAATTTAGTTTTGCATAGTTTCTTGCAGGAATTTTGCATTTCATTTGATGCGTACTCTGACCTTTAAATTCCTTTTTTACCAAAATATATTTCTATACCCCTTGCGTGATTTTCATCACATACAAAGGACTTTCCTATGTACGGGAGCATAAGAGCAAAAATTGCTTGAAAAAGAATGGAATGCGGGGTGTTCATCTGGTCAGGCTCATTGCTCCGCTATGATTGGCCATCAATCTATGACGTCATGAATCTCAACAGAATACAGTCAAGCCATTGGATATATTTTCATGACGTTTCTTGTCGTCACAGTTCTAGCGGGTAGTTTCTGTTTATTGGCCGCTGTTTTTCGTGATGTCATCAGTAGTTTCAATATGGAGGACAGAGTGAGGTAGTGATGGAAATTTCGCTGTGTTTTGTTGAAAAAACATGCCAAGGAGACGATATGGTGAAATACCATTACCTAACGGATGGGAGATAGGATATGCTGAAGATGGAAAAATATATTATATTGATCACAATTCCGAGAAAACCACTTGGATCGACCCAAGAGATAGGTAAGTTATAGGTACACTGCATTCCTAAGAACTTGTTCCGTGGTGGTGGTGGCCTTACGATGCTGAAGTTTACTAGTACACTATTTTCAGTACACGTGAAAGTAGTGTAGCTTGTCTAATTCTAAATTTTAAACCTGACTCTAATGATTCGGAAGATGATCCCTCTATAGTCTATATCAATGTTTACTTTGGAGTTTGGACCTACTTTAATTTCTCTGCAAAGTTGCGGTAGATCTTGCGAATTCCTGGCCTGAGAAGCTTCGACAACACAACACTGACAGAAGTAAAGTGTGGAGCCTGTGGAGGAATGTTTCACTGTTGATCAGTGATAATGTTTTACCCATTTCTATAATTTCTGTTAATTAACTTTTTTGTAATAGGCTATCAAGTATCAAGTTTTAAGTTTAAAGTCATAAATATTGTTATATTTTTTGCATTGGTTGCAAATGAATAGGATATGATTCAAGTCCTAACCCGTGATAAGTCCTCTAAAACATGGTGGCAATCCATAGGTTATTCAAAAGAACCTGTTCTTATGTCATTTTGAACCGATCAACGCTTCTTTATCTCTTGCAAACGCATAAGTACTCACAATAATTCCCTGCCACCATGCTCTAAAAGTCTAACCCATGATTTTTTCTGTTAAGTGTAGGTATTTGCAAAAAAAAATGTTTCCCTCTAATCTTGATGAGAATTGTACATCTTAAAAGAGAAAAAATATAGAAAAATACCTTATAAATATAAGTGGATTACAAATAAAAGTGAAAAAGCTAAAAAAAATCCCTTCATTATGCTTTAAAACTTTTTTCACATTTCAAAAATACGCAAATTTTTGGCACTTTTTTAAAGAAAAACTATCATTTTCTAAATTTCCTATGAGCCAATTTAAAAATTTTTAGCATTATTAGGAAGCTCTTGTTACTGTTAGTCTTGTAGGCTATCTGTTCAGACTGTTCTGGCTAAAATAAAAGCTTTTAACCCTTTCGTGACTGACGGGACTGTGACGTCCCGCTCAATGTTTTACTCCATAACTTGCATAGGCCTACAGCGCACCATTTGAGGCATAGCTAACTACAGGGTTACATGAGTAACACTCCTGCGCCATGTCAACTCAAAAGTAGTTGACTGACGGGACTGTGACGTCCCGACTAACGATTTACTCCATAACTTGCATGTAGCGCTAAATTCAAGCTCAAGGCATAGCTAACTACAGGGACATATTAGAAACACTTTTGCGCCTACATATGTCTAATCTAAAGGAATATTAATAAAGGTTTTTTGGGATATGTTATTATGTAAGCTATTACACGTGTTTGCCAAAGGAAGTTTGTGATATTATTCAACTACTAACAAAATATATTACAAAAATATTTTTTTTATCAAAATCAGTGATGTCGCAAATTGTGTCACCTGCTCACCTCAGTTGGAACCATATAGTGATGATATACTACCGGGATTTTCTAGTCCCAAATATATAATTTTTACCATTAACATATATTTAATTATTTTTTACAGAGATGCAATATTTGGTCCAAGCTCACGATGATTCTGTAGAAAAATGTGAATAAAATATTGTATAACACATTGCCGTCACGAAAGGGTTAATTGAGACTTAGACTGCTGGTGAATTGGGAAAATGTATGTGACTGATGAGTGATGGGCGTGAATGGTATTAATTCACCAGGAGGCAGAATTGAACAGAATAATTTTCAGTTTGATAAATAAGTGATGAATAAATTATATAAATGAATTATAAATATGTGATATATGAATGATGAATAAATGACAAATACTGTCAAATGGGGTAATACCATCAAACAGGGTAATAAGGGATGGGCGGCGTAAATTGGGACGCGCGTCCCACATTTTGTAGAAATGTTGTAGCAGCTAAACTAATCAAAATATTGCAAAACTAAAAATAGTGGCATAAACTTCAACATTTTTACTATCTATCATCTATAAAAGGCATTAAAAGCTAGTTAAGAAATCACACATTTACTATCTCTAAAAAATCACTAAAAAAGTGTGAAAAGTGAGATTTTGGAAGAGTACCTGTACTAAGGTCTGGAGCAAAAAAAAATATTTGCCGTATTAAAAAAAAAAGTTTACTTACATAAAAGTTGCACATGGGTGTCGGCTTGAAAACTGGATTGATGGAATTTGCCTATCTCATTCCCCCAAAAAATGGCAGCCATTTCCGCGCAATGGTGTAATAAGGGACACCCTCCCCCCGGGGTAATAAGGAACACCCTTAAAAACGCATTTACAGTAGAACCTTGGCAAAGACTCCAGTTAACAAAAAAATTTATTAACAACAAAGAATTTTGATTACATTTACCTTGCTCAGCAAAAAAAATTCCCTTATCGAAAAATTAGTGCATAATCAGTCATCACAAAATTGAGCGTAGAATGTCATATATAGAATTGTGCACCAGGCATCATAGAATGAAAAGTAATTGACCTAAACTGTGATTTATTTCTCCAAAACGTATGATGGTTGTCACTAAAACATTCCTTTCTGTTTCAGGTATGTTTTTTACGATATTTTTTTTTAGTGAATTCACTTAACGAAATTAAAATGGTGTGAAATTACAAGCCGTCCTGTAAGCTTACAGATACAGAAGTGCTATATGGCTGCTGATATGAATCTTGCAGTGGACTAGGTTGTTGTAAATGCTCAATGGCATGTTCATGGAGATGGTAATATCACATCAATAATATGGTAATTAATGAATATGGTAATATCATATCAATAAAAGAAAAACAAGTAAAAATCACAGAAAGTCATTTATTCTACATCTACATCATCTACAATGAAAGAGGAAAACTTCAGAGTACTGTTGGTAATGGTTGAGTATACTCTGCATGCTTCAAACTTTTTAAAATCAAGTTTTATTGTAAGTGTCCCAGATTACCCCATTGCGAGAGGTAATTCAGGACGCTTTTATTTTGCCTTTGGCGCCTCACATATAGCATATGGATTTTTTTGGAGATGCCATTTGAAAGCCCTTGCAAAGAGCTTTAAAATGAGCTTAAACTCATTTTTGAAATGTTTCATGGTAAGAAGTTATTAACAAAAAACGCTCAAAACCGTCCCTTATTACCCCGTTTGATGGCAAGGGACAATTTGAAGCATTTTTTGTTAATAACTTCTTACCATGAAAGATTTCACAAAGGAGTTTGGGCTCATTTCAAAGCTCTTTGCATGGCTATTGAATGGCATCTCCAAAAAACGTTTGTATGCTTTTTGTAAGATGCCCGACGCAAAATAAAAGCCTCCTGAATTACCCCTGGGAATGGGATAATCCGGGACATTTGAAACAAAACTTAATTTTAAAATATTTGAAGCATGCAGAGTGTGCTCATTCATTACTAACAGCACTCTGAAGTCCTCCTCCTTTGTAGATGATGTAGATGTAGAATAAATGACATTTTCTGTGTTTTTTACTTGTTTTTCCATCATTGATATGATATTACCATAACCATGCATCATTGTATTATTGATGTGATATTACCATGTCCATGGACATGCCATTGTGCATTTACAATGACCTTGTCCACTGCAAGCTTCATATCAGCAGCCATGTAGCATTTCTTCTGTATCTGCAAGCTTACAGGATACCATGGCTTGTACTTTCACACCATTTTAATTGGGTAAAGTGAATTCAATTCACAAAAAGAGATCGTAAAAACATACCTGAAAGAGAAATGAAAATTTTAATGACAATCATAAAATTGTTTGGAGAAATGAATCATAGTTTAGGTTAATTACTTTTCAATCTATGTTGCCCAGTGCAAAATTCTATCTATGACATTCTATGCACAATTTTGTGATGACCAATGATGCATCAATTTTCCATTAAATGAATTTTTTTCTCTGAGTGAGGTAAATGTAATCCAAATTTTTTGTTGTTAATTTAGTTTTTTTGGTTAACTGGAGCCTTTGCTAGCTGAGGTTCTATTGTAAATGCATTTTTTGGGGTGTCCCTTATTACCCCAGGGGGTGTCCCTTATTACCCTTTTGTGCAGAAATGGTCGCCATTTTATTTTGGAATGAGATAGGCAAATTCGGTCAATCACATTTTTAAGCCAACACCTGTGTGCAACTTTTATGTTAGTAAAATTTTTAATATGGCAAATATTTTTTTTCTACAGACCCTAGCAGAGGTACTTTTCCAAAATCTCACATTTCATACTTTTTTCTGTGATTAGAAAGTAAAAATATTGAACTTTACGCCTCTATTTTTAGTTTTGCAATATTTTGATGACTTTAGCTGCTACAACATTTCTATGAAATGTGGGACAACTGTCCCGATTTACCCCGCCGGTCCCTTATTACGCCGTTTGACGGTAGTATAAATGTTGAACTTTATGCCACTCTTTTTAGTTTTCAATATTTTGATTAGTTAAGCTCCTACAACATTTAGACGAAATGTGGGACGACTGTCCCCATTTATCCAGCCTGTCCCTTATTACCCTGTTTGATGGTAAAAGATAAAATCATGCAAGTGGATTCATAGTTACCTACTAATTTCTTTACTAACTTACCTTAAGATTCAATTGGTATATATTTTGCATGCTAATTTTATTTCATTCATAGCTCTTGAACCCTGCCTTACCTAAGATTTGTTGAATAATTCTTTCAGAGGTCTGTCTTAGATGTACCCAAACTTAATGTAAAATTTGTCTAATCTTTGTTTAAATTTGAAACTTGGTCAGAGCTTCATTCAGAATATTTTCAAAATTTTCTCTGTACCATCATTTCTTGGAAGTTGGCCATTGGGACAGGTAAACCCAGTGGTAAGAGAATTGCATCATCCCATCACCCAAATGCTATCACCCTAACCCTGTCATCACATCAATATAGAATCATTTCACCCCTGATCCTGTCATGACAAATATTTCTTATAAAGCACTAATGCAGTAATGCTCACATGTCTGTGCGGTTACCAGAAAATGGGGTGACTTGAAGCATTGACTGGGTGACTTGGACCTTTTTGACATTTAAGAAAATAAAACCCTGTACTCAAAAAAAATTTTTATCTTAGAAAAATTGTGTTGATGGCTCTTCAACTACCACGAGATAACCTGCAAATACAATAAAGAGATATCTCCTATATATTTACTACCGTCAACCGGGGCTACTTGGGATGGGCGGGGTAACTCGGGACAGTCCGACACGGCGTAAAACTGTTTTAGTAGCAAAACTAATTGGAATATTGCAAAACTAAATATAGTGGCGTAAACGTCAACATTTTTCCTATCTATGTAGTATAAAGGGAGTTAAAAAATACTACATTTACTAGCTTCCTGAAAAAAAAATGGTGAAAAATTCCTGAAAAAAAATGGTGAAAAACGATATTTTGAAAAGTTACTTCTGCCAAGGTCTGTAGTAAAAAAAATATTTGAAGTATTAAAACATTTTGCTTAGAAAAAAGTGGCAGACAAGTGTCAGCATGAAAACTTTATTTGTGGAATTTACATACCTCAATCCCCCCAAAAAATGGCGGCCATTTCCGCACGGTGGGGCTACTCGGGACGGGGTAAAAAGGGCTATTTGGGACACCCCCAAAAACGCATTTACAGTAGAACCTCAGCAAAGGCTCCAGTTAAGAAAAAATTCATTAAAAACAAAGAATATTGAACCTTGCTCAGCAAAAAAATTTCACTTATCGTAAAATTAGTGCATCATCGGTCATCACAAAATTGTGCATAGAATGTCATATATAGAATTGTGCACCAGGCATCATAGAATGAAAAGCAATTGACCTAAACTATGATTTATATCTCCAAAACATATGATGGTTGTCTTTAAAACATTCATTTCTGTTTCAGGTCTGTTTTTCACGATCTTTTTTATAGTAAATTCACTTAACCCAGTTAAAATGGTGTGAAATTACAAGCCGTCCTGTAAGCTTACAGATACAGAAAAAATGCTATAAGGCTGCTGATATGAAGCTTGCAGTGGACAAGGTAGTTGAAATGCTCAATGACCTGTTCACGGATACGGTAATATCGCATCAATAATACGGTAATTAATGTATATGGTAATATCATATCAATAAAGGAAAAAGAAGTAATAATCACGGAAAATGTCATTTATTCTACCTCTACATCATCTACAATGAAAGAGGACTTCAGAGTACTGTTAGAAATGGATGAGTACACTCTGCATGCTTCAAATGTTTTAAAATGAAGTTTTATTCCAAGTGTCCCGAGTAACCCCGTTCGATGGGGCTACTTGGGACACTCTTTTTTTTGCTTCTGGCACCTTACGAATAGCATATGGAATTTTTTGGAGAAGCCATGTGATAGCCCTTGCAAAGAGCTTTGAAATGAGCCTAAACTTGTTTATGAAATGTTTCATGGTAAGTTATGAATGAAAAACGATCAAAATTGTCTCGAGTAGCCCCGGTTGACAGTATGTGACTATTTGTATCACAAGAAGGTCAGAGCTATAAATGGTCCAAGACACCCTGCAAATGGTCTAAGTCACTCTGTTTCAAGGTACACTACGTACAATAGTTCTTATAAAGCTCTAATGCTCACATGTCTGTGCAGTTACACCACGTAGTTCTTATAAAGCACTAATGCTCACAGGTCTGTACAGTGACACTACATAGTTCTTATAAAGCACTAATGCTCACAGGTCTGTACAGTTACACTACATAGTTCTTATAAAGCACTAATGCTCGCAGGTCTGTACAGTCACACTACATAGTTCTTATAAAGCACTAATGCTCACAGGTCTGTACAGTCACACTACATAGTTCTTATAAAGCACTAATGCTCACATCTCTGTACAGTTACACTACATAGTTCTTATAAAGCACTAATGCTCACATGTCTGTACAGTTACACTACATAGTTCTTATAAAGCACTAATGCTCACAGGCCTGTACAGTCACACTACATATAGTTTTTGTAAATCACTTATGATCACATGTCTCTGCAATTACCATAGAAAATTTGTATAAAATGCTGGTAGTTCCATATATGTTAGGAGTTACTAAATAATGTTTATATGGAACTAATGCATGAATTTCTGTGCAGTTACACCAAAGCACACACATTTGCTGATTGTGTAGGGCAGGAGCTACCGTATGGCTGGGAGGAGGTCCATCATGCTCAGCTGGGCTCCATATTTGTCGACCACTCCAACAGTCAGTAATTACTTTTACCTAAACTTTGTTTGAATTTGTCTCTTGGGTGATTGTGAATGGGAACCTCCAGGCAGATGAAAGTTAGATGCCCAAAGTAATATCTAACTAATGAAGTAATTTTTACAACTCTGATCTAGGTTTTTTGTGGGGTTCTACGTAACCTTATAACTGATGTTGCAAAGTTTTTAGAATCTAAATTGCCTCAACTTGTCATTTTGACTTAAATGTAATTTATCCCCTCTTTACTGGGCAACTTTTTGTGTGGATTATATCTTGTGATGATAGATTAATAGGTTTATTTAATTGGATTTTTTTTTCTTTTGAATGACACTGATTATTGTAAAATGTCTGTTTTAATTGTATTTTTTTTGCTTTTGAATTACAGTTATGACACTGATTATTGTAAAATGTCTTTATCTTATCAGAGTCCAATCAAGTTGAAGACCCAAGAGAGCAATGGCGATTGGTTCAAGAACAGATGTTGTCGGAATATCTGACAGCTGCTTCGTCAGACCTGCAGCAGCGACAGCAAGTGCTGGGGGTTAAGCAGCACAGGCTAGCCTTGGCACGCCAACACTACCATGCCTTACACCACAGCCTCAATGCCATGCAGTCTTTTCATAGAACTGATGGGGTCAACTCCTCTCTTCTGCCTGAGGCTGCAGGCTCTTCCTCTGCTCTTACAACATCCAGAGACAGTGGTGAGTTAATAATAGGCTTATTGTTTACTGTGAAGCTGCTTACTTCATGCCGTGGTAGTGGTGAGACTGGTTAATAATAGGCTCATGTCTTACTGTGTGTACGTAATTGCCCATCCTGGTAGTGGTAACTAGGTAAGGGAGCGAGTGAGGTGAGCTTTTCCGGGCACTAATGCCACTGGTAGTTCCACGACCATCACTGGCTCGCTGACCCACCAGAACCATTTTTGCATTACACAACACCCTGGACAAGCCAGGGGCTCATTTATATACCAGAGTTGGATGAATGGTGGAGTTGACCATGAGCTGAGCTTCCCGGAAGAACTTGTTCTCAGTGGGACTCGAACCCAGGAGTTGGGTGCGAGAGACAGAGTCTCTCACCACTGCACCACCGCAGCTCTTCATCTCTTACTGTGAAGCTGTTCATTTCATGCCGTGGCAGTGGTGAGACAAGTTAATAATAGGCTCACGTGTTCCTGTGAAGCTGCTGACTTCATGCCGTCCTTTGCTTGCAGTGCATTCTGGGTTGCATTCACTAACACTACATTCAATGTTATGTTTGGCGCCTTTGAAGTTATCATGTTTCAATGTATTCGAGGTAACAAGCGTTATGCTTGCAGTGTACTCGGGGTCGAGCGCTAGCAGCAGTGCCCTGGAGCCCAGTCAGCTCAAGCTGGAGGTGTTGGCTGCACGGGCGCGCGTGGGGCGCCTCAAGCATGAGCTGCATCAGGAGAGACAGCAGCTCGCGTCCCAGCAGGCTGGCATCAACACGTTAACTCAGTGAGACGAGTTTTTTTATGACTTTGAATTTCGTGTTAATTCTGTTGCTTCTTTAAATCTTGATCATCTCTATTTTTGTGTGCTTGAGCATTGAAATTTCCAAGTGTTTGATTGAAATTTCATAAATGACACTTCACTGAGCGAGTGACCACATATAAGGATACCTACATGATTATTGTGTCAATGATTTTACCGAATCTTTTTTTATAATACGAATTGCACTGCATCTATACATATTTTTATTACTTTATCCAGTACTCATTATTTTATTGTATTGCTTTGAAGGATAAATAAAAGAACTGCCAAAATTATAGCGCAATATGTTCAAGGAATTTTGAATTTCCCTGTTTACCAAATACCTCATAAAAATGACGTTGTTTGATTAAATTTCAGTCTGCGGGACACTGTTGCTAACAAGGATGGCTGCAACTACACTGCTGAGGAGGCACAGGCTATACTGGCTGAGGTGCGTAACATTGAGAATCTGCTGCGTGCTGGCCAGAAGGAGAAGCAGCAGCTACACCAGAGCCTCAAGCTTCTCGGAGAAGACATTCGATCCTTCATAGAAGATGAAGAGCCTGCTAAGTCTGGCCCTGCTGCTGTCACAGAACGTCTCAGCACTGCTTCTCAGACTGACTTTGGTGCAGATGTGAGTTGTTTTACAATGTTGCACTTATCCTTAATGAGAATAATTAGACAAATATATATACCTACACAGTTTATCAGAACCGGTATGCAACTTGAGTTGAATGGCAGTTTTATTGCATCCCTGTGTATTTAAGACTGTACAATGATTGTGACAAGCAATTAAAACCTGCTATTTTCCTCAGCATCTGCCGTTAGGAGCGAGACTTGCCGAGTTGACACGTCTACGTCTCGAGTACAACAGCGCCAAAAGTCAGCTGAAATGCTACCAGCAGCAGCTCGCTGATTTAGACTTGCGTTTGGCCACACTCGCAAACACGGCTCTCTACAGCAACCTCTCTGCTCTAACACAAACATCTGTTGCATCTTCAGTGAGCAACCACTTCAATGTTGCGTCAACTGCAGTTGATTCAAGATGCTCGTCTTCCAATGCACTCTCTGGCAGTGCCCACAGCTTACTTTCTGTTGCTTCGGGGTCTTCTCTCTCGCATCAGACTTATAGCGCAATCACCACTCCAAGAAATACAATTCAGGATATGGAAAATCAAGCTGCAAACCCAGCGTTGAGTAAAGGTTTAGTGTCGTCCGAGGCGAGCAGCGTGAGCAGCAGCGCGCTGAACATGTGCGCTCAGAGCGCCGTGGACGGCGGTGCTGTGCAGCGGCAACTTCAGCTGCTGAGTGAGAAGGAGCAGCTGCTGCAGGAGTGCAAGATGTTTCTGAGGCATGCCAGGGATCCTTTGCAAGTAAGCTTCTCATCAACGTCTTATTAATTTGGTTTGTCATGTTAGCTATAGAGCCCTAAATTTAAAAATTATTGCGTGCTTTTGTAGTCACATGTTCTGTATGGTAATATTTGTGTGATTTGCATCTATTTGCAGTTTCTTGATTTTTAGAGATTTTTATGTACTTTTATTTCTTTATTTCAGATATTAGAATTAGAGAATAAAATACGCCATTTGGAGGAGGAGCAAAGAAAGCGTTTGTTGAACTTGGAGGCACCTGAAAGAGGCGTTTGTGCTTCTCAGCGCTCCAGATTTGACTTTAGTTCGGCCATGGAGAGTGAACGAAGCGAACTGCTCAGTAAACTTCGTGATACCGTGGCTTTGATGGTGAGACTTGAAGGACAGTTACGCACCCTTTCCGCCTCCACACTCTCGATGTCTTCCTCATCATCTTTAGGCTCCTTGTCCACGTCAAGTCGAGGCAGTGCTTCCAGTCTGAGTTTCACCGACATTTACGGCGGTGGCTATCAAGGTGTGCATTATGCCAGCAGCGAGCACTTGGCTCAGAGTGTTGCAGACCTGCAGCGACGTGTCAACAAGCTCTTGAGTGCCAACTCTCAGCAAGACAAACTGTATGCTGAAAAGTTACGTCTTCTACAGGAAGGCGTGATCACGATCTCCCAGTCAACACTCTCGTTATCTCCGAGAAGTTCTTTATCTTCCTTGTCACCTCCCACCTCATGTGATCCACTAGCTATGCTCGATTCAAATTCTTGTGAAGTGGATGATTATAACACAACATTAACGCCGAGCGATGGAGCCGCCAACTCCACCGTCAACGCTCTACCAGAAAGCCTGGAAGAACAAGTGCAGAAGCTATTGTCTGGCAATGACGTGGCAAATGAGTTCAAATCAAACCCCACACTCAATATTGTTGATGGAGATCTCGAATGTGATGATGATCTTAAAGCTATAAACATACGCTTAAGAGAAGTAGGACTGCTGGCAGAAAGTGGAGCTGTGAGTGGAAGTTCACGTAATTTATTGCATCACCGAAGTTCTGACGCCATACATGCTACAGGAATGGGATCGCATGCATTGCAGCACCTACAATCCCTCCAAAATCTGCCCCAATTCCTGCAAAGCAAATCCATGATTGATTCTTCAAAGCAGGACAATTATAACAGCACTCATGATTCAGTGGCGGGAAGATCACTAACAAGAACTGAAAGTTCACCGATGGCGCACAATATTCCGTCTATGCACGACATTGGATCCTCGATTCATTGTGGTTTGAATGCCTCGAGCAACTGCAGCGTTGCGCCGCTGCACCTGGGAGGCCTCAAGGCTAGAGATGCGTCAGTCCTGGACCTGCACAAAGGAACTGCTGACGGCGGTTCAAATGGAGGGAGTGAGAGCGGAGGCAGGGGAAGCATGTCAGCTGCCGTCAGTGATGAGAGCGTCGCCGGAGACTCGGGTGTATATGAAGCTTATCCCAAGAACTCTCCAGATTGTCCCAATACTCCACAAATTCAGCTAAAATTGAGGTCAGTTTTGGCTGTTAGCACCGAAATAACCTGAATGTCTGCTTAAATTTCTGTTTACTTAATTTTATTTCTACTCTGCTTGCTTGCTTAGTACTTAACTGCTCTAGTTTACTTTTCAGCAAGCAAATATCGTACACATAAAGTTTGATATTTGGCTCCAGTTTTTCTGTTGTAGAAGCCTCGTGGTGCATGAAGTTGTAGAATCCTCGTGTCTTTTAATGTAGCAAATTTTTTGACAATCAGTATTGATTAATCTCGTGTGAATATTTTATTTCGGTATGTACCAGAGCTAAATGTTTACTTGCGTCTGATGTAACCGTCCCGGTCTCATCAGAGTTCGGCCAGAGCAGTAGCCATGAAGTTGCGAGTGTTCAGGTGGCTGTAAGAAGTCAGTTGTGTCTGGCCAGCCTCAGAGTGAGGTTTTTGCTTAGCCCGCTTGTGTCTGGCTACCTCACTGGTTATCTCGCACCTCTTTGATAAATTTTAAAAGCCTTATCAAACTACGAGATATGCATTTGATTCATTTTAAGATTGTGTTGTTTTTTATACCTCATTCTTTCAAATTATGATTTGGCTAAAATACAAGCTATGTTTATTCATAGGAATCGGAAGATTTATTCAAAGGTTTTTAAACTACAAGATAGTTGTATTGCTTCATTGTTTAGCAATGATCTACAATATTAATAAAAGTTGTTTGTTCACTACAGATACTTCAGTGCGGACGCTGTTCTGCAGGTATGCGTGGTGAAGGGCCGCCACCTCAACACGCTGAGTGTGCCACCTGATGCTCTAGTATGCGTCAAGATCCACCTGGTGTCAGGCTGCACAAATCTCCCAAAAGAAGAACCTATTAACAATAGCAATCCACATGACACTCTAGCTGAGTCATCCAACACCAGTGTCACGTGGTGCACACATCCTGAAGCAGACCTCGAGAAACCGACCTTTGGTGAAAGCTTTACTTTCCCAATAGCAAGCTGGAGCCGCCTACGCAGCAACACATTACAGCTCAATTTGTGGGCCCTCAAACCAACACAAGATGAGGCGCAAGAAGTCCATGTGGTACGTGGTTTATCGTTTCATGTTCACTCTTATTATATTATGAGTCGATTCAATGTTCTGTCCAATAAATGACCATCATCAATCTAGTGCTTAGAGTAGTTAAGAATTTCATCAGTTGTAATGAACGTTTTGGTGAGTAAATTCGAGGTTTATGTATACTCAGGGTTTTTGTGCCGGCAAATTTTTTCCTCAATTTAATGGTCACTGTGAATCTTTTTACAATTTAAATGACTATCCGCGTGCCTGGAGTCAAGTTCTGTCATTTGTTTACAGGCGTTTGCTCAAGTAAGTCTGGCTGATTTCTGGAGCACGAGTTGCGAGGTGCTATGGGTGAACCTGCTTCACTTCTCGCTGTTGGCTCCGTCGCATGCACACAACGTTCAGAAAGTTACATCGCCTCGGGACTCGTCTGAAGGCTCACAGCCTGCCGCCCGTGTTGACAGTTCTAAGGCAACGACGTCTGAGCATACGACCTGTGCTGCTCAGTCCAGTTCTGCTGCACTGCTTGACTCGGCAACATCTGGCATTCGCTCCACTTCCTCAACATTGCGTTCCTGTGCTTCCAATGCCAAGGTCAGCAGCTCTTCATTATCAGTTTCCTTACTTAGATGTGCAGTTTAACTGCCAGTGTCACTGAGTTCTTTTATTTTGATGATGCGCTCTGCTTTCTTGAAAAAATTGCAGGACATTTAGTAAATCGAAGAAAATAATTATTCTGTCATTTTGAACTCAACTGAAGTTTAGTGTATCTTTTTTTCTTGTACATTAAGTTGAGGAAGATCCTGTGGAACTAGTGCATCAGAGAATTTAATTCTCCAATAAACCGGCACTTCCAAGTTCAATATTGCTGTCATAATTGTACAGGAGGAAAGTAGTGATGAGTCAACGGTGATCTCATCACAAACCTCGACTTTAACACGCAACGTGGGGCCGGAATGCTTGCGTCTGAACCTGCACGGGTACCATCATCACGGCGTGGGAGGGGAGCTCAGTGAGGACCTGACCTGTGTCATTGATTCTGACGAAGAAGAAGACGAGAGCGACAGCGATGACTGCCAGGAGGACATCATTGAGCGGCTGCTTGAGGACGCAGTCAGTTGCATTTAATCTTATTGAACGATCGTGTACACAAATAGCAAAGATTAAATTTATCTCTATGATATATTTTATATTCCTTCAGTAATAATTAAATTGAGAGTTCTAAATGATAACATGCAATCTGTTGTTGACTGAATTTGATTATTTTGGAGGGTTTCTCTGTATTCAAGAGTAATGTTTTCAAATTTTGTTTTGTCTTGGAGTTGAATGTTCGATTACTGTTTCTATAATTGCTAAAATAATTTTGTATCGCGCAGAAGGACACAGTTGTTGAAGATTGCGACGTGGACTTGACGTTGGTGGAGACGGCCGAGAAGGCCACCAACACCGAGTGTGTTACGGTGCCTGTAGCAGGGACACGTGCTCGCACTCCCTCAGTTTCGGATGCGTCTAGAGCAGGTCTGATGGGTGCCTCGGCTAGTGAGGGAGCAAGTGGCGTGCGTGCTACGCTGTCTACTATCATGGGTGCTGCTCTTATTAAACGGTCACAGACCTTCACACCATCTGCTGCTGCCTCTTACAACAAGAACATCTGCAGGGTAGGCATCAATCATCTTTTTGTCCACTGTGTCAATTTGTTAAATAATGTACCTATACTGGCCAGGTATTCATCTTTTTTACTAAACCTTGCATTACGATAGCGTCATAATATAAGCACTTAGCGGCCCAACTCTTGGAAATGTCATGGGTAATTTCAAACAGAAATGCACAGTTTTCTCATTTATTTTGCCTGTTTGATGCACGAAGTCTCGTATAAATAATTTGCTTAGATGATAAATTATTTTATGCTTATAACCTCGCAATTATTTCCTGCTGGGTTAACGTGAAAATTGTTTACATTAACTCAAGTGATTAATTCTTTTTGTAATTTTGTTGCTTAGAAGATTGAATCGTTTTGGTGATGCTGTTTGGGATCATCCATTTTCTTTAACTAGCGCCTTTTGTGATGATAATACTTCCATTCATTTACTATTTGAATAACAAATATTAATATTAATTTCGCTGAAAGTAAATCTAATGCATTTATTTCTGGAAACTTCAGAGCTGTTCTAAATGACCAATAAGAATGTTTTTGCAGCTGAACCGTAGCGACAGCGATAGCTGCGTCGGTCTGCACCGCAGCTGCAGCAGCATCTACTGCAGCGCCTCCTTCCAGCGCGGCTCTCCTCACCGCCGCTCCCTGCGCTACAAGACCAGCGCCGCCCTCAGCGTCCACACTCCCACTATCAGTGAGTGCTTTCTTCATTATATATACCTACTGGTGGCGAGCCTCAACCATCTGCGAGTTCAGTGGTCTATGTCCTGGTGTAAAAACTGATGATTATGCTAGAGTTTCGTCTCGTATTGAACATCTATTGATTATTTATATATCATTTCTAATGATCATATAACATTTGTGATGAGTGCGTTATGTGCCAAATGCAGCCGGAATTCTCATATGAAGTTTGTGTGGACTTAAGATTGAAGGCATCCATGTCATCAACCATGTCTGGCGTTCAATACTCGAAGTCCGAATTTTGTGCTTCATGCCACCTTCAGCTCGTATAAGCAATGTTCTCATGGATGACCTCTGATCTTTATAAAAGAATATCTTTGTACAGGATATGCATCATCCACCCATATAGTCTTGAATACTTAATGACGTTATGTTCTTTCTGGAATTTTTTAGTGTAAATTCTTCACTATAGATCTCACAAGAAACTTAATGTAGCACCGACTACGTCTTTTATTGTTATTTTAAATATCTGTTGTAATGAGCAGGCAGTGCGTGTACGAGCCCCACGTCCCTGGACTTGGCTCTAGACTTGGCAGCTCAGAAGCAGCGGTTGACGGCCCTACAACAAGAGCTCGAGTCGCTGCGAGCGCTGAAGCAGCAGTTGCACCAAGCGGCCCTAGAGACGCGCAGTAATAACACGCCGCCTACGTGGCTCAACTCGCCCCAAACTAAACGCACCATCAATAAACTGGTGCGAATTTCTATATATTATTTGTATGACTCATGTTTCTTTCTAGTCTTGAGAACTTTATTGAAAATCGTATCTAGCAAAAATTTTATGTGTAATCCCAGAATCAAAAGGCAGGGAATCTCAAAAACTGGTAAGTGAATTGCTTCCGTAATGTAAGATGACGTATTTATTGATCGGAACGCGACGGAACTCAAATTATGTCAAAATGTGTTGGGGAAATTATTGAAGTAAAGGTAACCCGATCCTCAGAGAAGAGGTGCGTATCATAACTAGCTGGACACGTTAGAAACTGAGTGAGTTATTTGAGAATTGAAGGAAATAATCTACCGAGAAACAATTCTAGATTACTTCATCACCGGAAATATAATGAGCTTTCCTGACAAATGATGTTCCAAGTTTACAGGTGAAAATCCATTTAAAATTTTTTAACTGGTGTTAGAAAGATTGCAAAATTACCTTTTTTAAAATCCACCGTTAACTAATTAAACTGAACAACTGGTTCAATTACTTGTTTTTAGTTTTGCTTAGTGAATTATTCAAAAGATTATCCTGGTTGATTATTTGGTTAACCATTTCATCCGAACTTCCATATATTACTAACAGGTTCCAGTTTGAATCCCATGCCAATTGATGGACAATTCATAATTAAAAAGGCTTTTTGGGTGTTAATTATTATTGTAATTTATTGATACGGTACTATTCTTGTGAACATTGCTACTGTCTATTGTTGAGAATGTCTAAATTATCTGTAAATCTTTGGACTCTTTCTCTCTTCAATATTGAAGTTATCATAGAAGTTATTACACAGGCAAGCGGCGCAGGCTTGAGCGACACGCCAGAGGAGCGCAGAGTGAGCAAAGTCTTGCGACGCACCAAGCGCGAGATCCACAAATTACGGCACTCACGAACGTCTCCTACACAACCTGACTTGCTCAGTTTTAAGTAAGAAATTAGGCTGCGCTCAGTTGATCAGTTGTTATTGAATTATAATTCTGCGGCTTGTTATATAATTGTAGTTATAGTGCTCTAAGAACATGTCTAGTAGTTAAATATTTTGATGGGAAGCTCCTGTTTCAATTACGAAGGTATAATAGTGAGACAGTGAGACGCTTATGTTCGTCGCAATCAAATAGAGTGAAAATAAATCAACTTGTGCCGTTCATCACTCTGGGTTGTGCTCAAGTTGATATCCTCAGTTTCAGTTATTGTCTAAACTTGACCAAGCAAAGACGAATTTCTCATTGATAAGATGTTTATGCTTGTTACTGTTCCTGAATTGTTTGATTTGTCAAGCGTTGTAAACCTAGCAGTGATAGATTGTTTTCGCACTCTGTCGTTGTGCTTTATTATACGTTCTATACTCTGTTTTCACACAAGCTAATGAATACATCTGTATTTTCCAGAGAGAAGATGGCATTCTTCCTTTATAGTCCAACTAAGAGCTACACTGTTGATCCCAGCGATGTTGAGTCGATTTCTGTGACTGGAATGGAAAAAAGTAATGTACTCTCGGGGGGTGCCAACATGGCCGTTTTTTCCCGTGACGATGAAACTCCGGTCTTAAATACCGATGCCTCTGCTGGAGCTGATACGTGTACTCTGGACGAAAACACGAATTTCAGTAGTTCTACAAGCACCAATGCTTGTGCCGGCGTTTTGCTTCCCAATTCGAATTTTGCCTCCTCACTCGACGAATCTTCAGGTGCTAGTGACAAGTCTCAAGTCCCATCTTCCGTTGCACTACCAAACCACACCGAAATGTCCTCAGCAACTCCAGCTGAAAAACTTATAACGAGAGTAACTTTAAATTCGCCGTTGTGTCGGTCACCTCATTTTGTTACATCGACTCCCTACCGCCTCAGTATAGGTGACAAGACCATTTCTCCTGTGCCTCCAACTCCCGTGAGAAACGAATCTTTGCTGTCGTCCAACGGCGGTGCCAAAAGCAAGAGACTGCCTCGTGATCCCAGCCCTGTGCCAAGTGCTGTGCATGCTACTCTGCCCGCCAGAATATCAGTGACCATCAACCCTGACGATGGCTGCGACAACAAAGTCGACGATGAGGAAGAGGTGCCCGTCGTACCTAAACGTACCACATCTCTGCTGCCCTCGGAAAAAGTCGCCCACCGCAACCGCAGAGCTTGTCCTTCAGAAAGCTTCGCTTGTCCCAGTAGCTCTTCTGTTTCTTCTGAATTCCGTCCAACAGGAGAAATTCGGTCGTTAAATGAGAGCAACCTTACCTCGGCTCTGTCTCATTCTACGCCATCTGTTGACTATAAGAACTTTTTGAGCCGACCCGCAATTCCATCTTTCGCTCTCAATAATGATAAGGGAAGCACAAAGAGTGTAACTGATCACAGCTCAGTGAATGGTTTCAGTGAAATAGCCATTAAGTTGAGGCCTTCCAGCAGTTATAATAGTGGTACAAATTGTGAGAATGTTTTGCCGTCATGTGAAGGCGGTGTTAGGAGTTCATGTGCTGGACATGTTGGTGGTCAAACTGTAATCCCGATCACTGAGAACCACATCGCTAAGAGTGATGCACTCTGTAGTATTAAATTAGTGATCAGCAATAAGGAGACGGACGTCTGCACTTCTTCTGACGTCTCTTTGACGAGTTCCGCCAGTGTCAGCTCGGGAGGTCAGACGCGCCAGCTCGCTGCCCGCCAGTTGCTGACTAGCAGCGACGCAGCGAGCGCTGACACCGAGCTTTCTCGCCCTGCTAGACCGCACGTTCTTTTCGACAGTGATGACTTGGGAGTCGAAGTTTAATATCTTCATTTGCATGTTTAGTTCCAACGTAAAGATTTATGGATTATGTGCATTGTTGCATTACTTGAACTTATTTCATTTAATTTCCTGCACAGTTTATTGAAAATTCAGTGCCTTCCATTCACTGAAGGTTCCAATTGCGTTATCCCATTTCTGTAGGTAGAGAGAGACTGAACTTCGGGAAAGTATTATCCTAATTTTCAATGGAAATAAGTTTGCTGAAAACACTTCGAGGAAAAAGTTCTAGAATACAGTATAGTGCTGCTTGTGCATTAATCACACATGTGGAATCATAGTACGTCACCCAGTGTTCAGTACAGACTTTGGTGATGATCCCGTAGCGTGCTGACCAAGCGGGTGCCTCTAACGACAGCTATGTTGTTTTAAGATTCTGATAGTGCTGCTGGTTTTGGTTCTGCTTGAATAGTTATTTAGTGAGGAGAACCTGAATTTACGAGCGCGTTTTTCTTGTCACTGCGATTCTCCTAGGAAACATTCACCCGAAGAAGCTTCTTCTCGTGGTCCCCTAGCAAGTCTGGAATGTTCTGTTCATGAGAATGGTAAGTCTTCGTGACTTTTCATTTCAGGGGAGTTGTTTAGTACGCGAATATTTTTTTTACATTTAGTTTTACTCAATAGTGAAATTGGTGTATGGTTGCCATTCGTTGTTGCACGTTTGTACGGTTTTCCAAGTGTCAATTATGAAATTTGTCATAAAAAAACTTATTTTGGGCACTCGAAACGAGAGGCTTGATAGCGAAGTTCTGTTGTTTGTAAAAGATGAATTGCATGACATGACTAATATCGGACGCGAAATATTACAACTCAGTGCTTCTAACATGTGCCTTCGCTGACAGCGAAGTAATCAAGTGTCTTCTTTCTCGACGTCGTGACAAAGTTGTAGTGTACTTGTGGATGTTCTTAGTTGTTAAATATAATGTGTACACAAATAGTATAGTCTTATATATCTTGTAGATCTTGTACCTTTGATGTACTCATGCCATGTGTGTGTATATACATGTATTTGTATGCCTGCAAGTGACAGCCATTATTATTGGATAATTACCATGAACGTGTCATGATGTTACAGCAGCGTCTCATTGCTGGTGCTTGAAAATGATCGTAAATTCCCCACTCTGTCTAATGGGTCTTGGCAGAGAGGAGGAAAAATGCCAAGGTTCTCGAGGTGCCACATGCATGTCAACTGCGCACTCTGTGCCTGCCTATCTTCTAATTCAATCAATTTTTGGCTGTGGATGAAGATTTAACTCACTGCCGCTTAGCTTGCTAATTTGGGGTCTGAACTTCCCATGCTGTTTTTCCGGTGCGACGCATATAATACCTATCCTATTTTCCGACTCACACTGTCTGATGAACTCCATGCCTTTCCTTGTAAATCGATTTCTATGACTATATTTCTCGTCTAGCATCATCCATCTTACCAAGCAGCATGGACTTGAATAACAACGTTCCGGCCTGTATGGCTAGTACACCTTAAATTTGATGAAATTCTTTCCTTTGCGTTTAATAATAACTGCTCAGTTGAATTCAAAGTGGAATAACTAAAAGAATTTAATGAAGCCATTCAAGTTGATGAAACTTACAGGTTGTCTGTAGGTTAGTTGTATGGATGTCGTCGTTACAATAGGCTCCTTAAGCACCAACTTGTAGTGCTGTGTCATAAGTAATACATTTGGGCTTTTTTATTGTGTGCAATTTCATTGTTGTGTTAATGCTTTGTTCAGTTGAGATCATGAATGAGAAAGGATTCGAGCGCCAGAATTTAGAACCTGATTCTTATCAACGATTGCGACGGTCGGCCACTGGTAATTGTATCTCTGAGTTCGTAATACTAGATTGGAAGATTTTCCTCCTAACGCACAGTGAATGAGTACTACTTGATATTCGACGTATGACAACTCTTGCTCTAAGTTACGTACGATTCGCTTCAAAGGAACAGCGCTTCTGTACCTTCTCTTCCGGTGAAGTCAGCGTGAGCAAAAATTAAGGATAACATCATCGTTTCTTCAATAATTACCCCGAATGTTGTACTTAGTAAGGTCCATAGACACATCCATGTTACCTTGTTATTAATAACGGTTATTTTATTTGCCACGGAATTTGCTTGCTCAACGTTTACTCAAATTATGTAAAATATTATAAACAAAAATCAAAACAAGTATTGTTAATTGGCTGAATTTATCAGTCACATTGAATATCTAACATTTTAGCTGTGTCGTCTCGTGTTGTAATCGTCCAAGTTCCTGGTTGAAATGAGCGCAAAATATGATCGCTTGTTAAGTCTACATTGAAAACTCAGGCTTACCAATGTGATAAAACTCATCAGCCTCGTGTGAAAAAAACGCTTCATTAAAACATCGAGTAAAGACGCCTCTGTGTCGTAAAGTTTGTGCAGTCATAGAGCAATTGAGTCGCGTGTGCGTCGTTGAGTTCATGCGGTGGTTATGGTGTGTGATTTTGACGGCACAATTCATTTCGCTGTCGCATTCGCATTTATTTGGCAAGCTCTGTGCTCGTATTCCTAGGGTGTATGCACGACCGGTAGCAGATTTGGAAGTAGGAACATGGTTTAGCTGTAGATTTAATATTTTTCTATTTTGAATGCCTTGCAAAAATGAAGTAGCAGAAGTACCCGTGTAAAAATATGTACAGAGAAGAGCTATTTTCGTGCGTCTGGTTAGACGCTCTTGTTATTTCTTGTAACAAATGTTATACAAATTGTGTCTCCTTATCCTTCGACCTGTCGATCGGAATAGCGACGAACAGTTCTGACCAACTATATTTTAGATTGACTTGGATTCAGTGAATTTTCTTGACATTTTCCATTACGAATAGTTATGTTACAATCATAACTGAGTGAATTTAACAGACATAAATGAGTGCAAGTATGGACTGGGTTAAGTGGATTCCGCCGTGGCGTCTGACTCTGTACAATTGCATCACAATAATAACCATCTTTAATGGTATCGTTTAGATTTCGAATGTTACTCGTAGTCTGAGTCGTAGATAAGTGTGAACTGATGGAAAGTGCTCGTTTCATTTGGGTTCCAATTCAGTTATTGAAATTTTTATTGTATTTACCTATTTTGATGTATCATGAAAGCAAGACAGATGCCAATTTCCGGTCTATTTCGCTCAAAGGAAACTGTGAGTGTGCAATTCTTCTATTATGCATATATATTTAAAATGCTAGGCTCGTCTATCTGCTTAGTTGAGCCGTGCCTCAACAGGAAATCCGGCGGTTGAGTGTACATACTCTGGAGTTGCAACTTCTTCGAGATTGTCAGTACCACAGAAAAGTTTGGGCATTGAGCTGCAACCTATGCAGAAGTGGTGATTAGGTATGCTCGAGATTTTCCCCTCTGATCGACATCTTTTTCTCTTCGTAATTGTGTTAACTTTCCAATCAAAAGCGTGCTGTTGGCGCATTAGTAACAGCTATTTTTTATTGTGGAACATTCATATTGTTTGGAAAACAATGTTATTGCTGATGAACTTACCGATATAAGTGCCGTTGGCTGATCCGAGCGGCATCTCGCCTCACCAGCAATTTACTAATTGCGTGTCATCAACTGGAAAGTGTTTGATGCTCTTAATCCTGGGGGTTTACTTTGCTCAACGATGGCGGGCACAGAAATTATTTTATTCCCAAAGCGTAGCAAAAAACTTCTGACAATCCTGACATGTTTTTTTTAGTAACGGATTTTGAACAGTCTCGACGGGCTGCCAGACAAATTTGTCACATTCTAGTTTCTTCATTGATAAAAATGATTTAAAATCAATTTTATACGATTAACATTTTCACGATATATTATAATATTTTACATCTTCAAGGTCCCGGCATGTCTTGCGAACCTGAATTCGTGTTGATGATTCCGAAATAAGGAAATAAGTTTCCTTGTCGTGGTTAAGACGTTTAGTTGTGATACGTACGGTTATGTACAATCATTTAATATTGATCAGCGATGGGACTCCTATAAAACAGACCAGCAGATGGTCTCTGCATTTTCCGGGATACAGTCTTTGACATTTGAGATTCCCTTCATCGCATCGTCGTCCTATCTGCAGGTATAAATCTTGACGTAAACTATATCACTTCAAGGAAGATCCGTTCAAACCTTCTTTTGTTAGAGTAATTCAGTGTAATCTTAGCTTTGAAGAATATATGAAGCCTCAGTTTTAAAGAAGGTATATTGCTGTTTCAAATTTCATTTTTAACGAATTGATTGAAATTAAATATTCAATCCAACCACCGTCTTTCGTCGCGTCATGATTTTACTACTTGAATTATAATTTCAGAACCAACAAAGGAACGCATCCACAGTCTAAAATAAATAATAGATAATTAGGGAAAAATTTCAGTCTACTCGAAATTAAACATTTTTCCTGGATCAGGCTCGAGATTTCCGCAAACGCTAATTTGAAACAAAATTCGATAAATTAATTCTAATGCGAGTTTCTTTTCGTTAGTTTGAATTCGTTATTTTCGCATAAATCCTTTCCGTACAAGTCCTTCACATGAAGAAGTGTCATTTCTTTTTACAAGATGTACGAAGAACACATGATGGTCTTTCGACCTTGCACTCTAATATCAAATGTATTGTTAATAATAGCTACATCAATTATAACACAAAACTCGAGTGCCTTCGCTCTGGAGAAAAGCGATCGCCAGATCAGGTCGTGCATTGTCAGCGATAGGGGCGGAGACAACCTAACCTTGCTTCACCCAGCCACCGCAGACCGCAACACGCTGCTGCTCGGCGCTCTCTTCCCCATCCACAGCCAAAAGCGCCTGCCTTGCGCTGGAGACGAGGGAGAGGTGCACGTCTGTGACAAGATTCAGGTACATTATTTGTATCGTATAAGATGATATGGTACGACTATGAAATTGTGTCGGTATGATTTAACTTAACATTCAGAGAAATAAGTGATACTTTGTTCGGATAACGTTGCACTTTTTGTCCTCGGACTCTTTGTTATTAATGATTTATTTAATGATCTCTTGATTGCAGCAGAAGGACGGCATAGAAGCTTTGGAAGCTTTTCTCTTCACTTTGGACGAGATCAACAAGAACTCGTCACTGCTTCCCGGCATCACCTTAGGAGCCCTCGCTTTAGACTCCTGCGACTCTCCCGAAGTGGCCTTACGTCAATCCAGAAATTTTGTCAAAGGTACCATCTTCCTTTTCATATTTCTTGCATCGGTGCCTTAGATTTTATTATATATTATATATATATATATATGTATGATTTTGTTAGATTTAGATTTATTTTATTATTTTATTTCTTAGACTCCGCATGATTTTATATTTGTCAAGAAATTTTTATTGTTCCATATTTTATAACGGATTGTATTCTTATTTAATGAAGAAAATTCATGTTCCATGCCACAAATGTTTCTGTCTACTGTTGATAAATCTTATTCCACCAGGTATTTCTAAACTAAAAGCGTTGTCAACGGTTTATGTTTGTGCACACAAAGGCAAACCGTTCAGCCATTTCCTATAACCGTTTTGAGGGTTTACTTTAAACCTAATTTCTATGAATAACCAGTCATCTATGTCATTTTTTGCGCGGCGAGACCTCGTTCATTAATTTCATCTATCGAACTTTAATTTTAATGTTTGTAGTCGTTATGTTCTCATGACAGGGAACCTGGCTGCACAAAACGCCCACCACGACACGGGCTTCACGTGCGGCGACGACAGCAGTACGCCGTCCTACATGGGCGGCCGCTACGATAAAGTCGTAGGCGTCATCGGCGGCCAGAAAAGTTCTGTTTCTGTTCAGGTAAAAGCACTCGAGTTTATGTCTTCAAAATATAAAATTGTGTTAAATATAATTGTGATTCTTTTTTATTTTATTCGACAAGCTGCATTACACTTGATATTACAAAACTATCACGGTAGCGATCAACCATACCATACAGTAAATAACTATGATAATTTTGAACTATCATTATTAGGCGAACTGCGTATTCTTCAAAATTTGATTTTTTAGAGATTAGAAACATACAAATTTAATTTCATTAGAATAGCAAAGAGAATGTTCAAAAAAGTCACAATATTTTTAATCACCACGTTTCGAACTTATCCTCGAACGTTCGAACTGATGGTCCTTGAAACGTATTCGAATATCAATTGGCGAACTTTCTTCATCTGTTGGCTGCGTTTAAATCATGATTTAATTTGTAATTTAAGCAATTAAGAGATTTTTTTAGGATCTAAACTTTATTAATAATTTTCAGATGGCAAACATTTTCAAGCTTTTCGAGATCCCGCAAGTGAGCTACATCAGCACAGCGTCGTCCCTCAGTCACCGCTCTATGTACCCTTACTTCTTGCGAACCGTGCCCTCCGACGATGACCAGGCAGAAGTCATACTCCGTGTGCTGAAGTGAGGAAAAAGTCAAGGATTTTGTCTTCGCTGACGTTTGTTCATTTGTACTTAGATGACGCAAGACGCGCTGGCGAGAACAGTCGGAGAACAAAATTTTTCCAACGCCACTGTGACTATTATAGTATGTGGCAGATCTACTTGCTTTCCATAATGAAGTTGCTATAATTTTTATCTTCCGTTAAAATGCACAACACTATAACTAGTTCGTCGGAAGTAATTATTACACTCACCATCTTGATCTGCTGCCCTCTCAAAGAACCTTCTCATGGGTCTACGCGTCGCTGGTTTATTCGACCGATGAGTATGGGGAGAGCGGACGTCGGGAGCTGCTGGCGCAGGCCACCACCTACGACGTCTGTTTTGACCTCAACAACTACGGGCTCTCAGCAGCCGACGGCGACCAACAGTACGCCGCTGTCGCTAAGAAAGTTTACGCCAACACCAAGGCAAGAGGTGATTAACATGCGTACTTTATTTTAGCATGCGCTACTCATGCTTCTCACGGTAGGAGATTGATTCCTGACTATTGATACGGTTTGCCCTCTATACTTTCTCGACAGCTTTAGCAGGTAAAAATTGCATTATTAACGACGCAAGTGGAAATATCTCACTGAATAATGTCAGACTTCTTTGTTTGGTACTTTTTATTCGGGACGAGACAGGAAGCCTTGCCCTGATCAGCAACAAAAATTCAATATAATTTTCGGGTTTCCGTGCAACGCCAGGACGATACGAGAAGAAATTGCGCGGACAAAATAGAGGCTTTAAAACTTCTCGGAATTTATATATATATTTTTTTTTCAGGTGCAATAAGACAGAACCTTGACCTCGTCTCGCCCTCTCGGTTTTTCTTCCGAGAATATTATTTCCAAAACAGGAGAATCATTTCAATAGCTTAACAATATTGCAGGTAGATAGTTTTCTGTAATGTATACGTGTTAAATTCAAATGATTCCGTTTTTATCAATGGGAAAATTTATGATCAATTCATTGCTTGTTATTTGCCGCTCCACTATTTGTTTGAAAATTGCATTGCTAAATATATATCAGAACTCATTCTATTTGGTTCGGTAATTTAAAATCTTTTTCTTTGATCTATGACCGCCCGCGAGAGGGTTTAGGAACTGTGTTGCTGCGTCGTAAATTTATTTCGAAATTCATACATGGCAGTGATTCCCAAACTGGAATAAAATATACACTAGGGTAACTAATCCCTTTTCAGGGGAAATAACTTTGTGGTTATTTCATATATATTCTGCCATATATTTCACTCGTGTCAACCCAAGCGTTTGAGCGTGTGCTTCTTCTGTGCTGCGTTGCCGTAATGCGAAATTTAGGGATAAACTTTCTTAATTCGCGAGAATGGCCAACTTCGTAAAATATTTTATCCTCTCTAATATTCTGCAGCATGTAGATTATTTGTTTTCGTGGTAGTGGTCGTGGTGTTCGCTGAAGCTTCGGTGGCTACCCGACTGTTCGAAAAACTGTACGGCGAGCGACACGAGTTTCACGAAGGTTTTGCCAAAGTCTTCGTGGGATCTGATGCATGGACGGTGAAAAATATTCAGGTGACTTAACAGCGCCCCTCTACGATGTGTATTATATAACATGTCTGTCCCACTAATCTAAACTAAATTTTCTTCTTTCTAACGCCAAGGAGGCTGTATCTCAGTAATGTCTTTGGAATCAATTCAACAGATTTAAAACTCGGTTATTTCAACTTCAAAAATATATAAATCATTTGCATAATCGTTTCAATAAAAATGTCGTTTAGTTTTGTTTCATATTATCGTGAGATACGTTTATTTCGGAGACATAATTAATTATTTAAACTAAATTCAGGCACGAAATAACCAATGGCGTCAAGGTTACTACTCTTAACGAATGCAATTTCATTGCAGAAACATGTCAGCTCTATAGTTGAGAACACGATCGCAGTGCAGCCTCTGGTAGAACAGATCCCAGGGTTTGATGCGTACTTCACTGGCCTGAAGCCGGCGACCAACAAGCGCAATCCTTGGTTTGAGGAGTTCTGGGAGGACAAGTTTAAGTGTTCATTGCAGTCCAGGAGAAACGGGCAGTGTGACATGTCTCTGTCTCTTGGGTGCGGTCATTAAAATTATTTTATTTATATATAAGTTAACTGTCGTCCAGGTTATTCGTGTTTAAAGGCTTGCTGACCAGCGTTAATAGAAGAGAGCGAAAGTTAACTTTCTGTCTTGGGAAGCATTAACTATCGTCAATGTTATTGATATTTCAAAGCCTGGTAACAAGAGTTACCGTTAGTATTTGTAGATTATGAGTTAAGTGGAGCGTCTGGGTCAAAAAAATATTTTTTATTTACTGACGGATCTTAGTGAATCTTTGTCAGGTTTGTGTATGCATATGTAAGAGAGCAAAAGAAGATAATTTTGCTCCTGTGAATTTTTTGAAAAAATAAAAAAAAAAGTGAAATGCATAGAAAACCTTTAAAAGATGGGTCCTTAATAAATCTATCTCCTTCAATTCACGTGCTACAACATCGAGAGTCATATTCGATTTGTATCGAAAGAGAATATTTATAGTCTCTAGATGCCCCTTTTCGATTTTAATTTTATTCTTCTATACGGCTTTTTCCCTTTTTCTCCCATTTTCCCTCCTAGTTTTTCAATATATAATCCAAATCATGTTCAAATCAGAAAAAAGGCATCTGGAGTCGCAAGATAAGGTCTTTACAAGTTGAATGGTATATTTCACAATGCTTAAGCTTAAAAATCATGGAAGATAGATTTTTAAGATGGCGTCTTTTGGTTATTTTAATTGTTCAGGGCAGCCAAATATGTAAAATAGATGAAAAAAAAACATAATGCTAAAAAAATTGCTTCAAACTGCAGCCCCCGCTTTCCCATTGCCAATTATTATTTTCGGGGGTACCATCCTGAGACTTATTCGTGTCCAGTTTTACGCGAATAATAGGCTATAAATGTGATTTTTCTAATATATGAAGATGAATTTTTCTAATTTTGAAAATTGTTCACTTCATATAAATTGGGAACTGCGGTTTGCTGCGTTAGACACGCCTTTTTCGCTGCTACAAAATAAGCCCAAAAATGGAAAAGTCAAATCTTTAGATTTATTTTTACCCAGACGCTCCTCCTAAACAAATTATTTTACCTGTCAATCATCTTGTCAATCATCTGCGCTGTTTTGATATTTACCCATCAAAATTGGTAAAATTTTATTGTTACTTTTTTTAGATATACTCAGGATTTAATAAATATCAATAATTAATAATCGATATTCATTTTTGATTGATATTATGTAAGTTTGAATTTTATGTAGTAGTTAATTTGCAGAACAATTTTTCACTTAAGTACATATTTATAAGATATTTGTCGTTACGAACGTGTACAGAGTCGGGGAGTCGCCCCCCTACAGGCAGCGTGGTTGGTTGCACTTCCTCCGCGACGCCGTCTACGCCTTCGCTATGGCGCTGCACGACATCTGGCGGCAGCACTGCGACGGCCGGCCTGGCGTCTGCGATGACATGACGCATGAAGGACACATACACGGCCATCAGCTGCTCGTCGCACTCAAAAATGTCTCCTTCCTTGGTCTGAGTCATTCTTCGCTTAATGCATTGCTGTTCTTTACTTAACCCTCTACCGCCTGACACGAGTGACAGGAATTTTGTCACGAGCAATTTTGTCACGCGCCTACTTCCCAATAAGGATACGATCTAGTGAGCGCAAAATGACTTGTAATGATGGTTGCCGCCACGTACGACAACTTTAAAATGTTCTCTGTTGTGTACTGCTATCGTCTTTATGTTGCTACACTCAATATTTTACGTATTATTTAAGTTGAAAATTATGTTCCCGGAGAGTGACACGGCGGTAGAGGGTTAAGGAGAGGATTCAATCATTTTCTTTTTACACTCTCTGAGATTTGATTCTTCTAGCACGTCTCGGAAGTTTCGACGGACGATCGCTTGTGTGCGTGTAAAACCTTCCAAATTACGAGGCAAATTTCGATTACACTTTGCACGTGAACTCATACCTCATTCATTTCTTGTTCTCTTTAGGTCATGGGAAATTACTCGATTAATACTTCACCCGCAAGTTATACGGCTATGACTTAAGGCCCTGGTTGAAGGTCTCGAGGCTTCTAACAGGCTTGGCTCTTCCCTATGCGTTTCTTCACTAATTAGGATAAACTTTACTCCACTCGCAAATGAGATGGCGATATGGATTTTTCCATGCTTACCCATCTATTTATTTATAAACGGTGATCAGTAACAAAAAATATGTAAACTTTGTATTAAAACAGTTTTAATGAGAGGAAATTTCAAGCAACTCTGAATATTATTGTTCATCAAGTCTGCGACTTTTTTACTTTTTTCGAGATATAAAAGGGTTGTAATTTTTATTCTCCATTGAATGGTATACTCGGCATTCCTTGATCAGCCTCTTTGTTGTAGATATTTTCTTTCCTCGGCCACCTGAAAGCGACCAGTGACCGCGAGAAAGGGTCTGGCTAGGATATCATATTACAAAGAGTACAAGCTCGAGGGTAGCGACAGGCTGAGCTTCGGACAGATCAAGGATTTTACACGATGGTCGCGAAAACCTCGCTCTTAGACTTTGCACGGCTTTCAGTCAGGGCCTTAAGTTATATGACTTAACTAGCAAACTTTGTGGAGAAAGCTTATTTCTCCAGCATTTTTCACAAGAAAAAAAAGTACTCATCAATGCATTTACTCGCTAAGCATAAGGGCTAATAATTAAATTCTTAGAATCAACATGTAATGAATAGGATGGTTGTTACTTTTGGCCATATTTACTTGCCTTGTAATTTACCATCAATAAAGTATTTAAGTTTCTGTGATGCAATTTATTTATTTAAATAGATTGGCTAACGCTAATAATTTGTAAATAGTTTTATAGATAATTGTATTATTACTTAACTACTATAAATTCTGCAGAACTGTTTGAATAATGCTAAGCCTTATTAATTCATTTTATTTTCCAATTTATTACCTCAGTTTATATATGCCTCCGAGGCTCCGATGCTAGTCATATACATTATTATTGTTATAGAATAAGGCATGGTGAGCTGGTCTGAAATCCTGTCTTGCTACAAATTTCAAGTTTCAGGTAGCTGAATGAATTCTTGATTTATTGTATAATTATTTCATATTATTCATGACGCAGATGTGACCGAGCACGAGTTCAGGTTCAACCCCATCACTCGGTCAGGGTTGCCGCGGTACACGTTGTTTCAGTTCCAGCACGACGAAACCGATGGCGCTTATTCTTGGGTTCCCGTGGGAAATTATTCAAGTAAGCCTCAGCACAGAAAGATTATAAAACCAAATAACGTAAATTTCATAACTTTCCCTCTATGATTGCATGAAAACCATCAGCAAGTTTGAGTTGTTAAAGTGAATAACACACCTGAACGTAATGAATTGGTTTTGTTTACGAAAAAATCGATTGCTGCCTTATTAGTCGTATTTTAATTCTAAGAATCCAATTTTATTGGCACTCAAATCGGCAACTGATTCAAGTAGACCAGGTAGACCACAGATCGAAAGATTGGATTGCTTCTGCCAGCTTTTCATAAACTTCCTATCGTCATCAACAACCTCGCTTGAAATATCTAGGATATTATGCTTAATATTTCATAGTGGTTAAACGTATTTAAATTTATATTGCGCATAACATTTGCTATCGCTTTCCAGAATTAGCAGGTCAAGAGGCTGAGATAAACTGGTTTTCGGATCTCATTTGGTCGCACAAAGCGGAACCTCCAGTCTCCCAATGCAGCGCTCCATGCGCGTCCGGACAAGCTGTTATCGTAAGATCCTAAGATTATAGGCCTATGATATCAAAGAAATGTTTTGGGCATACAGAACTTGTAGGGTTTATATTCCATGTGTCACTTGATCTGTTGCTTATATGGTCCGCTAGCGCAATTGTACTTCTTCGCTTTTATGTACAGTGTGATTCACGGAAACTTCCTGTTTTGTATTTCGCGCGAAACGGCCAGAAATTGAAGGAATATGGCGGGAAGTATTTCGCATGAAACGCAAGGTCATAAAGTTTTGTGTCCCGCCTAGTCAGTTGCCACTATGCGTTGGGGTTATCTTGAATCAATTGTTTACAAGGACTGTACAAGGATCCTACCTATTTTAAGAACAACATACGCCAAGCCATCGCTAGCATACCTGTTGATATGCTTCAGTGAATTGAATGGAACTTCGAAAATCGAGCTACTAAATTCATTTGACAATGGAGGCCGTCATTTGTCCTATGTCATCTTTAAAACTAAGTGGTACAAAAATTCATACAAGGTCTTTTCAATAAAATTTATATTGTAGTGTTATCTTGACTAGCTTTTTTTATTGAGCTTTCAAATCAGGAAATCTCCGTGAATCACCCTGTGCTTCTGTGTACGAGGAACGATAGTGCAATGGTTGCGGAATGCTAGTCCATTTCGGATTCCATGCACAATTGATTATGGATTTTGCGATTATTTTCTCACAGAAGCGAGACACTTGCTGCTGGGAGTGCATGAACTGCACAGAACATCAATTCCTGAACGTCAGTCATGATTCAGAAGCAGGTTTCTGCGACTCATGTTCCCCTTGCTTCTTACCTGCGGAAAACGGCACAGCCTGCCAACCAAAACCTGAGAAGCATCTTGGCTATAACAATCACTGGGTCATCACGGCTACGGTGTTCGCCATTTTAGGTGCCTTACTTGCACTGATGGTTGCCGCCACGTACGACAACTTTAAAATGTTCCCTGTTGTGTACTACTATCGTCTTCAGGTTGCTACACTCAATAGTTTACGTATTATTTAGGTTTAAAGTTATGTTCCCGGAGAGTGACATACGGCGGTAGAGGGTTAAGGAGAGGATTCAATCATTTTCTTTTTTACACGCTCTGAGGTATGATTCTTCTAGCACGTCTCGGAAGTTTCAGCAGACGGTCGCCAAGTGCGAGTGAAAAACCTACTAAAATACCAGGCAGATTTCGATAATACTTTGCACGTGAACTCATATCTCATTTATTGTTCTCTTTAGGCCATAGGAAATTACTCGATTAAGACTTCACCCGATCCCCCGATTTGGCTCTGTGTGATTTTTTATGGGTTTATCTTGAATCGATTGTTTGCAATGACTGTAACGATCCTTGTATACAAGGATCCTTCCTCATTTTAAAACAACTTACGCCAAGCCATCGTCAACATACCCCTCAATGTGCTTCAGCGAGTTGAATGGAACATCAGAAATCGACCAACTATATATATGCATTGACAATGGAGGCCGTCAATTGTCCGATGTCATCTATGAAACCAAGTGATACAAAAATTCGAATAATGTCTTTTCACTGAAATTAATATTGTAGTGATATCTGTACTAGTTCTTTTTTTTATTGAGCTTTCAAATCAGGAATTTTTGTGAATCACCCTGTGCTTCCGTGTACGAGGAACGACAGTGCAATGGTTGCGGAATGCTAGCCCATTTCGGATTCCATGAACAATTTATTATGGATTTTGCGATTATTTTGTCACAGAAGCGAAACACGTGCTGCTGGGAGTGCATGAACTGCACTGAACTTCAATTCCTGAACGTCAGTCATGATTAAGAAACAGGTTTCTGTGACTCTTGTTCCCCTTGCTTCTTACCTGCGGAAAACGGCACAGCCTGCCAACCAAAACCTGAGAAACATCTTGGCTATAACAATCACTGGGTCATCACGGCTACGGTGTTCGCCATTTTAGGTGCCTTAATGTTAATTCAAAAATATTATAATTAAAGTATAAACAGTGGTACCAGCTTTAATTAAGACACGTTGGTCTGCAGCCGATTCGTTACCATCCCGCCACATTGTCAATTTTGACCAGAATTTTCACAGTCAGTTGTGGGTTTTGAACCTCAACCTGCTACTCTTGGTGAATTATTTTTTATTTTTATCAATCTTTGTGACCGGCCATTTGTCGTACCATGATTTTATGACAGAGAATTTGTTGGTGCCGAACATGATCTTGCATTTGTTTTGCGTACGTAGAAAATACTTTAACATCCTGACATCGAATAAGTGAATGCGTGAGTTAGAACCCGCACGATTTTTAATAGTAAATAAGACTATGAATTGCTTTAAAATTCACGTTAAAGTTCTGCAATTGTGATTAAGATAAATTTAAGTAAAAATTTTAACCAAAACAGAGCTTAGACTACAGATTTTGAATTTCAATTTTCCTTGACTTTTTCTGTAACTTTTGTCAGGGTGCGCACAGCATATGATGTAAGATCCACATGATCTAAAGCAAGATAATAATAATGAAAGTTATAGATGTTCATCACCTGCAATAATAAAGTAGAATTCTAGATCTTCAGAGGGTGGTGAAAAGATTTTCAGGCATAAATTAGATCTTTGTCTCAAGATCGTGAATGTCTTTCCAATTCGTGCGAACCTCCATGCAAGTACCACGAATTGATTTTTCCACGCTTGACCGTGCAGGAATAATTACAGCGATTTGTGTCGGCGTCATTTTTTGGATTCACTTCGATACTCCAGTCATCAATTGAGCGGCATCACGCGAGCTTTCTTTTCTGCTACTCCTCGGGATCTTCTTATCTTTCTGCATGACCTTGGCTATCGTGACGCCTCCAAATCGCATAACGTGTGGCATTACAAGATTCTTCTTAGGCTTCAGCTACACACTTTGCTACGCGGCCATCCTGACGAAGACAAATCGAATTAATTACCAGGATTTTCAAGAGCCCCTCCAAAGCCCTTGAGGTAAACATACAAAATTATTTCCTGTGCAAATCCGGACGAATTGCCTGTCTCGGTGTAAAATTGAAATGCATCTATTGACAGTAGCGGAAACCGTCCTCACTTCACTTAGTAAAATTAACAATTACGTCGACATGTTTCCTTCCAGGCAAAATACACGTCACCTGCGTCACAGATGATGATCGTAATGGCGCTCGTCAGTTTAGAGGTGGCCATCAATGTTGTCTGGCTGCTTCTAACACCTCCTCAAGAAGCCGCCCTTTGTGATGTGAAGATTCCTCACAAGATTCTCGTGTGCAGAGGAATTGACGGATACTCCTACATGGTGGGACTGCTGTAGCCGCTCTCGCTCGTATTTGTCTGCACCATCTATGCCATCAAGACCAGAAAGGTACGATGGTCTTCCCAGCGAGATTGTAATTATTCGCAAACATTCAAGACCATCTTTCCATCGGAAGGGAATGAGAGGTCTTTTAGGCAAAACATCACGTGATAAAATACATCACGGACGTGGACAAATGGGTGATCATATTTTGAAATTCTGTTTGCATCCTTTCCAATGTAAAAGTTTTTATTAATAGCTTTAATTTATGCAACATAACGGATCCGGAACTGTTTACTCTGTCGTGCAGTACTTGATTACTGCTCAATGATAAGTTCCATTGATGTAAAACAACAAAGACGTAGATTCTAAACCTGCCGTGCAGTGTCCGGGTGGCTTCGATGAGGCACGCTACATCGCGTTCACCAACTACACGTCGTGCATCATTTGGGTGGTGTTCGTGCCGCTCTACCTCTCCAAGGAACCCTCCGATGAGACGAGGATCGTCTCACTCGCCATGTCACTGTCGCTCTGGTAATTGTAATTGCATTGAGTGTTAAGTAGTTTAAAGAGTTTAATTAGATTACGCGCGTAGTCTTGCTTTTAGTTAATTGTTCAGGATGACGTTAGTCAGAGTATACACAGCGCGTTAGGAAGTTAGGAGGAGAAGTGAATACTTCACACGTTATAACAGATTCTTAAAAGAAATATTTGCTAATCCTACGCACTGAAGCTATTTTTAAGAGTATCATAATCATATAAATGATATAATGAATATTTATTGGAGCTTTCTGCACAGTGGATTTGTGCAACTGGGCTGTCTGTTCCTGCCCAAAGTTCACTTTGTGATTTTCAAGCCCGACAAGAACACGCGTGACGCGGTCATGAGTCAGCTGGACGGCGGCGGGGCCAGAGTGCGCGTGTCGGGCGCCAACCCTCGCTCCGTCCCCGCCTCTGTGGTCTACGGTCCAGAGGTGGGCAGTAGCGCGCTACAAGTAGCGGGCGCTACTAGCGGCCGCTTCATTTTCAGTAGCGGTAGCGGTAGCGGCGCTACATTTAAGGCAATGTAGGGCAGTAGCGCGCTACAAGTAGCGGGCGCTACTAGCGGCCGCTTCATTTTCAGTAGCGGTAGCGGTAGCGGCGCTACATTTAAGGCAATGTAGCAGAACGCGGTAGCGCCCGCTACATTTAGAGCATGTAGCGGTAGCGCCCGCTACATTTCAAAGTAGCGCTGCCCAGCTCTGGGTGTACCTCAGCAGTCCCAACCCTCGTGAGCACATCAATTGATCTTGAAACTGAGGAAATTCTGCCAGAATTTACTTGTCTCTTAACTGAGAGTGAAGATTTGAGTCTTTGATTGGGTTTAATTAATTCGAATACGTTGTTTCTTTCGTTTCTTATTGTGAAGTGATATCTTACTGAAGCGTTGACTTCAACACTCCGATTTGAGACTCGAACGAATACTTAACACGTTTCAGACTCGATGCGTAACGAATAACGTAACGGCTAACACATTCATGTCCACAGGTGCAGTTAGCATGCAATATCCAGACGGCTTTACTTACAATTCACTCCGATACCAGAACCAAAACACGTCGCCCTACCACGGAGAGCGAACCTCGGTCGTCAGCAGGACTTCAACAGCTGAAAAAAAAGCCCACGGTAGTCTGAAGCCTCAATTTGTGCCTCAACACGGTTATCAATACGGTGACGAGGCGCTCGGGTTATACGGTCATGACAGTGCCATGAAGCAACAGCAAGAAGATAACTCAAGAGGCGCGACTAAAGATGGCGACGTGGCAACTCTCGTGGCGCAGTCGTGTTCCTTCGCTTCCATACCTGAAGATTGTTCTCTGCCATCAGCACACTCGGTGCCTCAGTCCAGAGAGTCGTCAATGGGAAAGAAGGCAAGGAAGTATCAGAAGAAGCAGTTGCTTGGAGCAGATGACGGCAATTCTTGTGCAGAAATAGCGCCGCGTGGACTGGAGAACATCGCTTTCACAGCAACCCTTAATCGGACCGTGTCAAAGGATGCGTCTTAGAACAGTGCCTCATAAACTCTGGAACGACGCCCAGGTTGTATGTTAGATTAGATATTACTATTGGTCCGCGATTTTTACACCACAAAAATGTATATTGCCTAACACAAGATAATCTGGAGTCGATCTGCATCAGTTTTCTACGTTAAAAACCTGGTCGCAGCAACCCACCGTTAAATTAATTCAAACAGTTAACTCGCTGAACATAAGTGATATAAAATGCTACATATTAGTGTTCAATATGTTGTATTAATTGTACCCTGTAACTGTAAAGAACCAGCAAGTTGTACACAAGTGAGGGGAAACACTGTCTGAACATCGAGCCCAACAGAAATAGTTCGAAGAGGTTTAAATGCTTTTAGATTTGCCAAATTATTCATGAAAGATGTATTGTAAGCTTTCGAACGGTGATGATTGCAGGTGCGTTTGCTAAATTCTATCAATCACATAACTGGCAGATAAAAGTAATGGCTTAAACGAAGGTTAAATAATGGAGTACGCCATGAATCTCCTTGCTTTCTAAGAAATATATTCAATTAAGAAATTACAACGTCTTACAAATCTCTCTGGAGTTGAGAAATAAAAAGAAAAACTTGACGCAATTTAAGTCTTCCCCATAGATCTGTACGCAATTGTCAATAATACACATTTATTATACAAAAACAAACAATTACTCGTGATGGAAGAAGCTGGAACAGACGACAGCGGCGGCGACGTTGCTTGAACTTCTCTTTCTGTTGTTTTCTCAGCAGGACAGTTTAGCGGTGAGTAAACAAACTTTTAGAACTTGAAAAAAATATAACAAGAGAAACAAAAGATCTTTAAATAACGTAATAACAATGAGAAAACTTCGATACCCTAACTAGTGCAGTAGTGCGACAATAAAAGTTATGTTCAGTCTAAAAGTCTAGGCACAAAAGTCTATGTTCAGTCAAATGCACAAAAGCCTATGTTCAGTGAAAGGCACAAAAGCCTATGTCCAGTCAAAGCCACAAAAGCTTATGTTCAGTTAAAGCCACAAAAGCCTATATTCAGTCAAAGCCACAAAGGCCTATATCCAGTCAGAGCCACAAAAGCTTTGGCTTTTGGTTAACCACATGTGTTTTTGGCATTGGTTTGGTAGCCACAAAAGCTTTGGCTCTTGTGGCTTCAGTCAAAGCCACAAAAGCCTATGTTCAGTTAAAGCCACAGAAGCCTATGTTCAGTCAAAGCCACAAAGGCCTATGTCCAGTCAAAGCCACAAAAGCCCATGTTCAGTCAAAGCCACAAAGGCCTATGTCCAGTCAAAGCCACAAAAGTCTATGTTCAGTCAAAGCCACAAAGGCCTATCTCCAGTCATAGCCACAAAAGCCTATGTTCAGTCAAAGCCACAAAGGCCTATCTCCAGTCATAGCCACAAAATCCCATGTTCAGTCAAAGGCACTAAAGCCTAAGTTCAGTCAAAGGGTACTCACACAGTGAAAGCAGGTTTCCAGCGTGCTGGTTACCTGCTGAGGCTGGCGCCTGAAACAAGCGCGAGAGGTTCACAGAGGAAGCAGGTTGCCAGCGTGCTGGTTACCTGCTGAGGCTGGCGCCTGAAACAAGCGAGAGAGGGTGTTCACAGAGGAAGCAGGAAACCAGTCTCTTTCATTAGGGTACGCACACAGTGAAAGCAGGTTGCCAGCGTGCTGGTTACCTGCTCAGGCTGGCGCCTGAAACCATAGAATACAGAAGCCTATTCGTACAGGTTTTCACTGTGAACACTTACATTATTATCCTATGTTCATTCTTGNACGTACCCTTAAAGAGGAAGAAACCAGGTCTTTTTTTGATATGCAGTTAAAGTAAAATTAAACCAATGTTCCCTAACCTTCACAGTTCATCTTCTTGGCAACGTCAGCCCAAAGTTTCTCAACTAAAATTCGGTTAAAAAACAAACACTAACAATCTAACCAACGTTGAGCACGAAAACGTATTTCAAGTGACGACTAAGACCGACCTGACAGCATTACAACGCTTCATCAGATACAATCGTACTAACGAAGGTATTATAATAATTTCTCATCTTGAAAATAATTTAAATTGAAAAAAATGCTATGAAATGAATAAAAGGTCAATAATTCAGCCATGGATTTCATCATCACAAACGATAGCAAACGGAGAGAAACGTTGCGTGGTTCCGACACGTGCCTGAAGCCACGAGCGACAATTTTACCTATAACGATAATACATTTTAAATTAGAGTATAATATTCCAACGCACTCACATTAAACGGATGTTTGAAGTCAAGCCTGACCCTAGCATTATGTAGCATTTAATGCAGTTCAGGTCCGTAGTCATAAACGTTTAGAACTGAGGCCTAAATACCAAGCTCAGTAGGTTGGCAGCAGCTGATGTCTACTTATGATTACATTTCCAGACATTTTGCAATGGGTAGACGAGGAAGACAGAAATGAACGCAATGTTTCGATATAAAGTGCAATAAAATCTATTCAGTTTCATTCATATACACGACCAACAAGACATGACTTACTCAACGTAATACTAATCTATCGACTGCAGGCCAGTTCGCACGCGAGTTCGCTGAAGTGTCGGACCGGTAATGTCCCAGGAAATTCGGACATTTTGAAACAATTTAGAGATCAAAAATTTCATTTTGCGAGATTAATCAGAGTTAATTGCATTTTTAGGTTTATTATAAGTGAACGATGATGTGTCAACACGTTCATGTTTGTATTATTCATGTTTTTATTGTTATGATAACTTTACGAAAATACCTGTTCACCAACGTTAAATGGCATTTTTAACTAATTTCGTTGAAATAAATCAGCAGGGCTCAGAATGCAAGGCAACAAATGACAGTTTGACTATGCTAAACTCATACAATACAGCTCTTTAATTATTTATTAAATTCATCGCTAATATATATTTACGCTGCGACATTTTTGATGCGTATAAAGATGCAAAAATTCACACCTGAGTAATTAAGAATATTTTTCCATTTTGATATTCATTCACCAACGATGCAATTTAGAAAAAGATATTTTATACCTGACCCATATGGCAACATTAAGAGCAATAAGGTGTCGTTCTTACTTTTGTCAGGAATATTTTTTTTCATCATTAAAAATACCAATTTATTGCAAATAGGTGACTCATATTTTTAAGTACCTAGATCAGGTATCGCTGCCTCTACTTCTAGGCTTCTAGGTTCTACCTACCTAGGCTACCTTGGTAGGTAAGGTACCTTAGCTAACAGCAGAAGCCAGTGCAGAGCAGTGCTAGACTGCTAGCTAGGCTATGAAGGGATGCAGCCGACCGCTGAGGTTCGTTGCAAGTTGCAACAAGCTTGTTTGTTGCAACTTGCCAGCAAATCCTTGAAAGTGAAAGAAATGTACCAATGTCATAAATTTTTTTGTGCTTTTATTGTTGTGATTGCGTATATGTTTTGACTCCTACACCCTTGTCACTCTTATAACTAACTAA